GAATGTGAAATCAGCATCTTCCCATTTGTCTATCTGTGGTGCTTGAAATGAAAGCGAGGCCTTCACCGACTTCTCTCAGCTGAGGGCCATGGGGACACTCTCTGGCAGGTGGGATGGTTCTGCCCAGGGGCTTGGTTAGTGTAGGGTCTCGCCTCTGTTTTCCACCAGCAGCCTGGGCTTGACAGCACTCACTAGCTCACATTCGGTGGGTTTCTGAATCCCAGTCCCCAAAGCTGTGGGTGTGTTCATGTAGGGACCACCCATGCAGCGAGCCTCTCACCGTTTGCATTATGTGGATGATGTCCTGGCCACACGCATTGGGTGGACTTAGGAGGAGTCCTGGTCCCCGCCCACACAGAGACCTTCTGTGCCAGGTCAGATGGTGGCTGCAGGAACCCAGAAGGTGCAGGCTGGGACCTACCCCACGTGCTGCCCCAGGTGTCTGCTGGGCTACGGAGGATGGTTTTCTTTCGGTGCAGGAAACGTAGAGATCATTTGACCCTGTAACTTTGGTGTCATGCATGGTCAGAAGCACTGGGGGCCGGGAGCAGCTCCCAAGGCTGAGAGCACACAGAGGCTCTGGACAACAGCAACAAAAACACATCCTCTCGGATGTCTTGTGGCCATCAGAGAGCACTGTGGGTCCTGTCTGCGTCTTGGGGTTCACAGATCCAGACCAGTGGAGGCCTCATTATGACAGCAAGGGCCACCCACATGCACATGGAGATTGGCCTCACGTCAGCCCGAATCAGGGGGTCCTGGGAGCGCGACTGACTGTGTGCTCATTCCTTTTGACAAAACCCGGCTTGCAGGTAAAACAAGGCCGGATAGGAAGAGCTGCAGATGCTCTCTAAGGCGCACTTTAGCCAAGATCATGGTCCGGTCCCCTGGGGCCCCAGGTGGGGCAGGCACGCCTGGTGGCCCTGTGTGTCTCAGCAACAGAGACCATTGACACACCCATGTGCCACTTTGCGCTGTTTCTGACCACCATGGCCTCCAGAAGCGCAGAGCCACAGAGGCAGCTTGGCTGCAAGGGTGGTTCTTGGAGGATGTCCACTGATGCCTGAGCAAAGACACACCAGGGAAGGACAGAGTTGGGGAGGCCAGGGTGGTGGGCTCACAGACCCCTTCCATGCATGTCCCCCATAGGGGCTCCCCCTCTTATGTTAACTTCAAGGATAATTCTGACTGTCTTCCCATTCAGCTACTACGCAGCAGCTTTTATACACGGATGTGAGTAAATACACCTCAGGCACGTCAGACTGGAAATAATACAGCGTAAATCACTTTTTACAGCCAGGAAAACACTCGAAACAAAGGTGACTTTGCTAATTGTCTGAACTTCTCTGCATTGCGGTAGCACAGCTTTTTCCCGTTGGGGTTAAATCTGCAAATGCATATTAACTTTCTAATTTTATGAAGCAGACTGGTTGGCGTAGCGGCACATGGTATCCAGGGTTATGAGTTCAAAGAGGTAATTGTTGGAGAAATGATTTAATACATCACAAATCCCTCTGTTTCCATCTCTTCAAATGGGATGCCAAAGCGATTAAAGACTAAAGACATATCACAAACAAATTCACATTAGAAAATTGCTGTAATCATTCTCTGCTGGATTAACCAGGGTTTAGGAGCCTCTGCTTGCTGGTTCCAATGGGAGGTCTTTCCGGAGAGATGGTGAAGCCCAAGCGGCTTTGAGTCGGAGCAACAGTTTGTGCATTTCACCCATCCTTTTAGGATAACGGTGTTTGTCCTTTACAAAGGGGCGCCTCTTCTAATGTTTCCATCCTGCAAGGAAAATGGACATGCACGTTTGGTAAATTAAGCGGTGGTAAAGCAGGCAGCTGGTCGTGGGCTTAATCATAAGTTAAAACGAAGTTCCCTGGTGAGTCTAGTGACAGCTGCACACACGGAAAGAAAAATCCCATCGTTGGGATGAAATTAACAATTAAAGGAAGCCGTTGAAAGCCAGCATGCCTGGTCGACCAGGGTCTATCCATGAACTTGCATGGGCTGGATGGGACCAGTGGCACTGTACCAGCCCTGGGGTGGAGCTGGAGCTGGGCAGTTCTGCCCTGAGATGGGAGGAGGAATGCAGTTTTAGGTCAGTGAATTTCTTAACTACAGAAAGCAAAGCTCTTTGTGACATATACCAGGCACCAGCAGAACCAAAAGTGCTGGGGCCACAGCGCGTCACCCAGGAGGTGGGAAAGTCCTTGGTTTCAGGCAGGGACACTGCATGTTAAGGGCTGCCTTGTCTTGGGTACGCTGGCCACAGGACATCCACAGGTGCGGAAATGCAGAATCATCTGTCTCTTTATGAAGTGAAGAAAGAAGAGCCCGTGTGAACCCCATGCTTGCTTTCTAACCTGCTGGGCCCTCTATTTTTACTCAGCAATTTGGAAGGTCCCTGGGGAGGGAGGGAGCAGGCATGGCTATCAGTGCACAAAGACAGGAGTGGGACCTAAGTCAGGCACCCTGCCTCTACTGACCCCAGCAAAGGACTCTTACAGAGCCACTGGCTTCGCAAAGGACTTTCCAAATAGAGGCCATGCCATCCAGAGAATGGGTCTTGGCCAGGTGCGCTGGCTCATGCCTGTAATCCCAGCACTTTGGGAGGGGGAGACAGGCGAATCACTTGAGGCCAGGAGTTTGAGACCAGCCTGGGCAACGTGGCAAAATGCTGTCTCTACTAAAAAAACACATTAACTGAACGTGGTAGCACACGTCTGTAATTTCAGTTACTCGGGAGGCTGAGGCAGAAGAATAGCTCAAACTCAGGAGGCAGAGGTTGCAGTGAGCAGAGATCACGTCGCTGCACTCCAACCTGGGCGACAGAGTGAAACTCCATCTTTGAGAGACAGAGAGAGAGAGAGAGAGAGAGAGAACTCGTCTTGATCTGCAAGTCACTCAAGCAGCAGCCAGCAGGGCCCACACCTTTCCTGAGTGGCTAATGGAGGAAGGTGGCATGGCTCCCAGACAAACCCCTGGGTGGACTGGTGGACCCGAGGCTGTCACCACAGGAGGCTGTCACCACACCGGGCTGCCTCTCAGGGGTTCGCCTGGTAATCTGCTGCTTCGTGACGGTTTCCTAGGCTTGGGTGTGGTTGGCGCATGTGAGGTTGGAGGGGCCTGTGGGTCTCGTGATTCAGTGGGTGCAGCCTCTGCCTTTCTTGCTGCCGGCTTGGACCCCAGCCCCAGCCCCAGCCCCCACTCTGGAGAAAGCCTCAGTGAACCAGGACTGAAAGAGAAACAAACATTTCCTTTTTGCTCAGCTCTAGAATGGACTCCCTGAGTCCGTGGCATTTCCTGGTTATTATTAAACAAAGAGAAAAAAGCAGGGGGAGCTTTGTACACTTGTCATTTTCACAGCGGAGAGCTGCAAAACCTGAGGCTGGCAAGCCACATGTGGCCACTGAGCTTTGACATGTGGCCAGTTGAACCGAGCTGGGCTTTCAGTGCAAAACACATGCTGGAACTTGAAGACTTAGTGCCAAAAAGTAAAATATTTAACAAATTTAAATAATGACAAGTTGAAATGACATTTTGGATGTGTTGGGATAAGCATTAAAGTTTTCAAGAAGAGTAACTTCGATAAAGAAGAGTTGATATCTGATCCAAGATGGCCGACCACTAATAGCTCAGGATTGCAGCTCCCAGTGAAAGCTCAGAGAACGAGACTACGCCACATCTTTAGTCACTCACCGATTAGCCGATTCCCAGTGGAGGAGCCCCACGGGTCGCCAGCGCGACTCTTGTGGCCGCCGCAGTGGTTTTGCCGGCGTCTCGGCGCAGCAGCTCTTCATGCAGAGCAAACGGGACTGCTACCCCTACTGACCGGAGTTTGGAGCTCCGGGAAGTCAGAGCCGCTTGTTGCGGACTCAAGAGGGAAGCCAGACCAGAGATTCCCGGGCAGAAGAGCACCATCAGTCTTATCGCCGCTATTTAGGCTGCCACAGTGGGTTGCTCGGATCCCAGCACTGGGAATCAATAAGTCGGACGTTGACTCAGAAACCTAATTAGAAAGGCGGTTCATCTACAATGAAGGGAAAAAAACAGCCTAAGAAGGCTGAGTATACTCAAAATCAGAACCCATCAGCAACGGAACAAGCCCTGTTGGAAAAGGACTCATCAGCAACAGAACAAGCCCTGATGGAAAAGGACTCATCAGTAACGGAACAAGCCCTGATGGAAAAGGACTGTGTTCCATTATCTGAAGTAGGCTTTAAAAGGTGGATGATAAGAAACTTCTGGGAGTTAAAGGAACTGTTCTAACCCAATGTAAAGAAACTAAGAACTTGGAAAAAAGGTTAGATGAAATGTTGAAAAGAATAGACAATATAGAGAGGAATACAAATGAACTTATGGAGTTGAAAAATACAACACGAGAACTTAGTGAAATATGTACAAGCTTAAACAGCCCAATGGATCAAGCAGAAGAAAGGGTATCAGAGGTCGAAGAAACAAACAACTTAATGAAACAAAACGACAAGACAAGAATAGAGAAAAAAGGATAAAAAGGAATGAGCAAAGTCTCCAAGCAATATGGGACTATGTGAAAAGACCTAATATACGCTTAATTGGTGTACCTGAATGTGACGGAGAGAATGAATTCAAGCTGGAAAATACTCTCCAGGACATTATTCAGGAAAATTTTCCTAATTTAGCAAAGCAGGACATTATTCAACCCCAGGCAATACAGAGAACACCACAAAGATATTCCTCAAGAAGACCAACCCCAAGGCACCTAATCGTTAGATTCACCAAGATCGAAACGAAGGAGAAAATATTAAGGGCAGCCAGAGAGAAAGATCAAGTTACCCATAAAGCTAAGCCTATTAGGCTTACAGCAGATCTCTCAACGGAAACCCTACAAGCTAGAAGAGAGTGGGGGCCAATATTCAATATACTTAATCAACAGAACTTTCAGCCCAGAATTTCATATCCTGCCAATTTAAGCTATACATTTGAAGGAAAAATAAAATCTTTTAGGAACAAGCGAGTACTCAGAGATTTTATTACCACCAGGCCTGCTTTACAAGAACTTCTAAAAGAAGCATTATACACAGAAAGGAACAACCAGTATGACCCTTTCTAAAAATACACCAAAAAGTAAAGAGCATTAACATAAAGAAGAATTTTTATCAATGAAAGGACAAAATAGCCAGTTAATAAAATAAAGGGTTGGAAAAAAAAAACCGTACCAACCAAATGGAGAGCAAAAAATAAATAAATAAAAAGCAGGAGTTGCAATTTTCACATTTGACAAAATAGTTTTCAAAGCTACAAGGATACAAGGGTAAAAGGATTCATGTAATAAGAGATCTTAACACCCAGATACATAAGACCCATAATGAGATTTAGATTCAACGAGACAGAAAATTGATAACGATATCCGGGACTGGAACTAAGATCCAGAACAAATAAACTCAATAGAGCTCCTCATTTTAAACACACAAAATATACATTATCCACAAAATCTAACGATATATCTAAAGATATACAAAGACTCAAAACAAGGGGATGGAAAAAAACTCACCAACCAAATGGAGAGCAAAAATAAATAAATAAAAAGCAGGAGTTGCAATTCTCACACTTAATAAAATAGATTTCAAAGCTACAAGGATGCAAGGGTAAAAGGATTAATGTAACAATAAGAGATCTTAACACCCAGATACATAAGACACATAATGAGATTTAGATTCAACGAGACAAAAAATTGATAACGATATCCAGGACTTGAACTCAGAGCCAGAACAAATAAACACAATAGAGGTCTCCATTTTAAACACATAAAATATGCATTAACCACTTTAAACACTCAAAATATTGATCGGCCATTATTGAAACCCATTTTAGGAATGAAGTAATATTCCTTTTTCCCTCTTTTTCTTTTTTTCCCCTTCTTTTTCTCTAAAAAAAAAAAAAAAAAAAAAGAACAGTAACTTCACCCGCTTCTATTTCCTCTTTTAATATGGCCACTTGAAAATGTGAAACTCAACTCACGACCACATTGTCTCTGTACAGCAACGCTAGTCATAGGGGTGGTGGGAACACCTCGGTTCTGGGGACATGGCCTCACACCGCCCACAGCCTGCACATTGCTACCTAGACAGAATTCAGGGTGAGCATCTTAGCCAGATATGGTGGCTCAGCCTACAATCCCAGCACTTTGGGAGGCCAAGGCAGGAAGATCACTTGAGATCAAGAGTTCAAGACCAGCCTGGTCATCATGGTGAAGCTCCGTTCCTACTAAAAAATACAAAAATTAGCCAGGCGTGGTGGCGCACATCTGTAGTCTCACCTACTGGGGAGGCTGAGACCGGAGAATCACTTGAACCAGGGAGGCAGAGGCTATAGTGAGCCAAGCTGAGATCGTGCCACTGTACTCCAGTCTCCGTGATGGATTGAGGCTCCATCTTAAAAGAAAGAAAGAAAAAGAAAGAAAGAAGGAAAGAAAGAGAAAGAGAGAAAGGAAAAGAAAAAGAAAGAAGGAAAGAAAGAAAAAAGAAAATAACAGCAAGAAAAAACTGGTGAGCATCATTAAAAAGCTGGAAGCCCTGTAATCCCATACTTTGGGAGGGCGAGGCGGGTGGATCACGAGGTCAAGAGATCGAGACCATCCTGGTCAACATGGTGAAACCCCATCTCTACTAAAAATACAAAAAATTAGTTGGGCATGGTGGCACGTGCCTGTAATCCCAGCTACTCAGGAGGCTGAGGCAGGAGAGTTAATTGCCTGAACCCAGGAGGCGGAGGTTGCGGTGAGCCGAGATCGCGCCATTGCACTCCAGCCTGGGTAACAGGAGCGAAACTCTGTCTCAAAAAAAACCAAAAAAACAAAAACAAAAACAAAAAAACCAAACCAAACCAAACCAAACAAAAAGCTGGAACCCAAGTCACGAGCAAAGCTCTTTCGTGTTTGATCCCTCCTGAGTGCTGGAGGAAGGCTAACTCCTGGTGGGCACAGGGTGGCGACCGAGAGGTTCTTTCCAGGTGGCCCCAGACTTTCTCGACACAGTTGCTAGGGTACAGCCACTGGAGAAAAGATAAGCAGCCCCCTGAGTTTCTTGGGAGCCATGGGCTTGCTCGGGCACCCAAATGGGTTCTGTTTTGCTGCTTGCCAGATGAGGGCAGAAGGCCATGGAGGGCTGTGTCGGAATGGGAAGATCCCTGGGCAAACCTGAGAAAGGCCAAATGACACTGTGATAGCCCAGGTGGCATCAGGAGTGACCACTGCCGAGAGGGTGACCTAGTTCCTCTCTGAAACACCACAGTCCCGCTCAGGCAAGAGACAGGCAGGTGGGGCATTTTGCAGAACAGTAGAAAAACAGCTTTGTCATGTAAAAAAAAAGTTTAAGTGTAATTCAAATTTTTTATTTAAATTAAGTTACCGGAATAATTTTTGATTACTGAAGTGGTTCTTTCAAAACTTATATTCCACCCAAAGAGAGAAAGATAATTTTTTCCCCTCCACCCCTTTCCCTTTGATTTCACACATTTGCTATAATAAGTTGCTGCGTTTGGATCAGATTCAGCATCTCAGAGACTTCAGACTCTGGTTTAGAGTGGACACAGTTATCTGCAATTGAAATTATGATGAATTCAGTTACAAATGAAGGCTATTTCATTTGATATTAACATTTAATCCTATTATTTTTATAAAATAAATGAAAATAAAATGCTTTACTCTGAATATAAATGTTGTACTGATGTCTCTGATTTTAACCAGAATAAACACCCCTGTTTCAAATTCTGTAAGCAAGTTAATTTATTTAAGATCACGTTGAAATGACCCTGCAAGTGAAGGACATTTCAGTTTCCAGCTTTCCCACCTTGACTATCCAAAAGGGATCTGAAAACACAGCTTTCCGAAGCTGCAAAACAGACAAACTAATCTGTTAGGGGGAAAAAAGGCAATGAGGAAATAAAGACGGAGATGAGCAAAAGCCAGTGTTAGGCGTGCGTCTTTATGAAGAAGACTCAGTCACACGCTTCGTTGGGCAGTCCCGCAGGCCTTCTGGAATGCATTAAGTTAAACGCTGTGGGCCGGCGATTGCAGGCGGCGGCCTCTCCCCTTGGCGTTACCGACAGCCGAGGAAACTGGGTTAATAAAGCCGGATACTGCAGCGGGGCCGCGGGGCGCTAACCGGCGCGAACAGCTGGGTTCCCGGGGTGCCCTACCAGGCTGTGCGCGGCGGCTCGCTGGACCCCGAAGGTGGCAGAAGTCGGAGCTGCGCACCGCATCTCGGTTCTCACCCGGCGGGGCTCCGGCAGGGCTGGGGCCCGCAGCAGCTTTATTCACCCGTAGCCGGGCCTCCTCCCTCGGAAGCGTGAGGGGACCGGTGGGGAGGAGGCTTTGCTGGACACCAGGGCTAGGCGGGGCCTTCCCTGCACCCAGGGTTAGGTAGGGCGCCGGCTGTGAGAACCCCTCCTCCCCGCAGCCTCCTCAGCAGAGGCCCCGCAAAGCGGCCTTCATCCAACTTCACCGCGCGGACGGCCCGGGCAGGGGATGGCGGCGGCGGGGGAGGCCAGGGGGCGTCGAGGGGACAAATCCCGCAGACTTCGAGGCAGCCGGCGACGACGACCGCTTTCCCCGCCTCTAGGCAGGCAAGGAAATACATAGAACAAACTCCTACTTGGAAAAGGCGGAGCGCCCTTCGCCCGGGGTCCTCCGCGTCCGCGGTCCAGGCCCTGTGCAAACGGCCACGGTGGGGTCGGCTCGTGCGGGGTCTCGGAGCCACCGAGGCGGGAGGTGCCGGCTGCGCGCGTGGTTGGGAACACGCCGGGCAGAGCGCCGCCCCGCAGGTTAGCCCGAAGGGCTGACCAGGGCCTCAGCGCGAGGACTGCGAGGATCACGACCGGCCAAGTCCGGCTTTGCTCCGTCCCCACCCTCCGTGCGCCTCCGACCGCCTGTCCGGAATCTGACCAGAGCCCGTCCCCGCCGCCGCCCTGGGACCCCGCGGTGGTCTTCTTTTGTGGGCGAGCGGCAGTGCCCGAAGGATGCTCCTCCCACCCCCGTTCCTAGACTCGACGGGTCCAGACAATGCTCGGTGGGCGCCGCGAGTTCCCGGGCGCCGAGTCCAGCGTTCGGCTCTCGGGCTCAATTACGGCCTTGCCGCTTCCAGCGGCGCCCAACAGCTCACAGCGCACTGGCTGGAAGCCAGGTCCAGCAGTCTCCTCTCCGCCTGCAGCTTCTTTCCAGGCCTCTCCTGTCCGGGCGGGTGAACAGCAGCAGGGGCGGTCGGAGGACGCGCGCGGGAGAAGCGCGGCACCCGGGTCACGGCTTCTCGGTACAGTGTTTGCAAAGCGCCGAGGGCGTTCCGGAGAAGGCGGCGCACTTGTCAGGGCAGGGTCCCAGCGCCGCGCCGCCCGCGGAGAAGGGGCACACAGCCGCCTGGCCGAAGGGCGTGAGGGGCGCGGCGGTGGACACGGGCGCCGCCAGGCCCTGGCCCCGGTTGAGGAAGGCCACCAGGCGCCGCATCTCGTCCAGGGCCTGCGCCTGCATGAGGATGTAGTTCTTGGCGAGCAGCAGCGTGGCGATCTTGGAGAGCTTGCGCACCGACGGGCTGTGCGCGTAGGGGATGACTGCCCGCAGCCCGTCCAGCGCGTCGTTCAGGTCGTGCATGCGCCGCCGCTCGCGCGCGTTGATGCTGAGCCGCAGAGACCGCTGCTCCCGCGGCCGCCGCCGCGCGTCTCCCGCGCCCCCCGGCCCGCGCCGCCGCCGCCGCTGCTCGAAGGCGTCGTCCTCGTCGCCGCTCTGTTCGCCGCTGCTCTCCGCCGCCGGAGCTGGGGCGCGCGGCGCGGGGACAGCGGGGAGGTCGCCGCCTGGGCCCAGAGCGCCGTAGCCGCGAGCCGAATTGGGTCCTCGGGCCGCCCCGTAGGCGAGGCCCGCCGCTGCCGCCGAGTAGCCCTGGCTCAGCGCCAGGTACGCTTCCCCGACAGGGACTTGAGCTCGGCCATGGCCCCGCGGCCTGGGCTGGAGGGCTCGCCAGGTGGGCGGGCGCTCCTGCCGCTCCCGGCTCTGCGCGTCCAGCCGGCTGCCCGCGGGTCCCCTAGCCTTTGCTGCCCGCCGCCTTCTCCGCCTCCGCTTTCTCTCCCTCCTCCACCCCCTCCCAGCCGCGGCGCTCAGGGGGCGGGCTCTAGCTCCCTCTCGCCCCTGCTTTGGTTTTAAGCCGCGGCAGCGCCCGGTGGGACTTCGCTGCTGTCCAATCGGGGGGGACTGGGTGACGGCCTCTTCTCGGGCCCGGCTCCACCTGCTCCGCAGGCGGGCGGACCGGCCGGGGGTGGGGACTCGGGACCGAGGTGCACGGGGGGTGGCGGGACCCCAGAGAGCTTTTATTTGCTTCTCGGCGCCTAGGTCGCCGCCTTCTGCCGCCCTTGGGGATTGCCGTCACCAGACGCGCGCGTCCTTGTGGGCACCGGCCTCCGTCCGCCTTCGAGTCCGACCCCAGCTCAGGAGTCCGCGGCGGCACGCAGGGGCCGGAGCCGGGGGCGCGCAGCGCCAGCGCCGACGCCCTGCCCCTCTGAGGGGACGCCTGGGGTCGGGGTCGGGCTCCTGGGCGCTCTGGTCCAGCCGCGGCGCAGCGTGTACCCGGCGCGGGACAATCCCCGCCTTGGGCGCTCTGTGGCCAGGCTGGAGGAAAGGAGTAAGAGGGACTTTTAGAACCTGTTGAAAAACGCCACGAGCGTTGCAGGCCGGAGAGGGCTGGCAGGAGGGGGGCAGCGCGGCCTGGGGCTCCCTGGGGTGGGGGTGGGGGCTTTGTGAGCTGCGGGGCGGCCTCCTCCTTGTCAGCCGCTTCCTGGGCATCTATCCGCGAACACGTAGGGCTTGAGGGGCTTTCCCGGAGCCTCCGCAGGCGCTGCCTCCCCTGGGCTCCAGCCACACTGGCTGGGAATGCGGCCAGCACCGGAACCGCCTTTTCAGTCCTCTTCCAAGCCCGGATGAGGGCGGACCCCAGCCTTTCTCCCAAGTGGGAACCTGCCTGGAGGCCGGGCCGAGTGGTGAGGGTCGAGTGTGCGGAGGGAAGGCGGCTTCTCCGCTCCTGGCTTGGTAGGAGACCGGGCTACGGAGGCCTCCCGCACGAAGTGGAGCGGCCGCTTCCGGTCCTGCTGTGTGACCTGGGCAGGGCCGCATACCCTCTCCGTTCCGTAGGCTCCGCCCCAGGAGGAGCCTCAGAGACGGTCCTCTGAGTGCGGGGCCCAGGGAGGGGAGTGGGCGCTGCACGCGTGGGAGGCGGATGTGCTGCCTGGAAGGTTCTGGGGACGCAGCAGCGACTGGCCTGTCCCGTGGTTCCCTGCTTGGTGCCGGGTGCTGGCATGAGGAGGGAGATCAAGGATAAGGCACCTGGGAAACAGGCCTTGCCGGCGCGGAGGGGAGCGAGACTGACAGACTCTGCCTGCTGCGGTGGGTCTGGCTGCGCGTCCTGGAGCACCAGCCTCACCCCCAGCACACGCCGCCGGAGCGCAGGGGCCGTGGACGGAAACGTCTGTCTCAGGCCCTGTCCTGGGGCCCCCCACTGCCTTCAGAAACTGGGGAGACCTTGTGTGGGGGAGGCCGCTGTGTTTGCGCCTGGTCTGAAGGATTCGGGTGTCAGTCTGGCCGTGGCCCGGCGGGGAGGATTCAGATGGCCGAAGGGGCCTGGCACAGGGGAGGGCAGTGAGGGTGGGTGGGGCCGGGAGATGGAGGGGACCAGCCCTGTGGGGCAGTTTAGCCACGCGGGGAGTTTGGTCTTCTTGGGAAGCAGGTGCCGTGGGCACTCGGAGAGCCACTCGGCGCTGCGGCCGGTTCGGTCTGGGGCTGGGGCCTCCTCCGGGTCTCAGCCCTGGCAGAGCGGCTGGGCCTGAACTGCAGGCTGGTGGGGGCCTGGGGGAGGCGGCTCCTCAGCTGCCCGGAGCTCCCGGAATCAAAACTGGGGGAGCAGGAGGGTGGGACTGACCAGGAGGGTCAGCTGTGGACATGGAGATGTTGGGCCCCCAGGGGAGGTGCCCCAGGGCTGGGGAGAGGCCTCTGAGGGACGCGCGGTCACTGACACCGCAGTGTGGGGCGAGGGTGGCTTTCAAATCCTCGGCTGGAGCAGGGTCCTCGGTAAAGCCAGAGACGCGGACGCCGTGGGGCCGGGGCCGGTTCCCAGGGCCAGTTAATCGGGAACCTCCAATAGGATGGACCTTGGCTGGGAAGGCTGGAGGCGGGGATGGGCAGGGGGCTGGGGCAGGGGCGAGGCGCAGGGAACAGCAGCCAGGGAGGCCCCTGCTCGGCCCCCGCAGGACCAACAGCAGGTTCGGGCTCCAGTCCGGCAGCTGCGGAGGCGGCGTTTTCGGTCCGACACTGTCACCTGCTGGCCGGCTGGGAAACTGCGCCCAGTCTCCCAGCGCGGGCTCTGAGGGGCCAAAATGCGCGTTTCCAGGCCCTCCAGGATTCTGCTCAGGTGGACGCTGGGGGCTGTTTCACAGGCGCCCACATGGTGGGGGAGCTGGAGGAACTTGCCACCTCTGCCATCGAGTGCCCCTCCGAGCTGGGGCTGGATGCTGCCCGTGTGCACAGCAGCAGGTGAGCCTGGGGAGTTGAAGGCTGGGTGGTGGGTGGGGTCCCAGCAGATGAGACAGGCCCCGCACCTTGGCCAGCTTCTCGAACCTCCTGTGGGCAGAGGCTGTGGAGGGTGCCAGGCGGCTCCGCGCGACAGAGGGCTTTGCCAGGCCAGTTGCTCGACCTTTCTGGCTTCTGTTTCCACATCTGTAAAGTGGGTCTGTCTTCATAACACATGTGGTCTAGTGACGGCCCGTGGAGTGGGTCTGTCACTGCGGACTCACTTGTCCCTGGCTGTCCTGAACCGGTGGTTCCCCCGCCCCTGCAGCGGTCCCTGGCTCACACCACGCCCTGACCTTGGGGATGCCCAATGACCAGTAGGTGCTGTGGGTCCAGTGAGCACCCTGTGGGTGTCACTGCTGTCCGTGCTGCTGGGATCGGGTGGTCACCACTTGGGGAAGAGAGGTCTAGTGGGGCACAGTGGGGGCAGCCACACTGGGTGGGGGCACGCGAATGAGCCCCCTGGGCGGCCATGGGGCTACCACGCTTCTCCCCTGCAGGGGTGTCTCCCACCACCAGCACCAGGACAGGCCATTCCAGGGTGACAAGAGGAAGATGTTTTCTTCTTTCTTTTTTGTTTTTTTCTTTTGAGACAGGATCTTGCCCTGTTGCCCAGGCTGGAGTGGCTTGACCTTGGCTTACTGCAACCTCCACCCCCTGGGCTGAAGGGATCCTCGCACCTCAGTCCTCTGAGTAGCTGGGATTACAGGTGTCCGCCTGGCTAATTTTTGTATTTTTAGGCTGGTCCTGAACTCCTGACCTCAAGTGATCCAACTGCCTCTGCCTCCAAAGATTACAGGTGTGAGTCACTGCACCTGACTGAGAACAGCTTTATTTAGACATAATTCATGTACTGCACAGTTCACCTGTTTAAAGCATGCAGTTTAAAGATTTTTAGAATATTCACTGCATTGGACCACCTCCACACAATCAATTTAGGACATTTTCATCCCCCGGAAAAGACACCCTGCCTCCCTTAGCCCTCATTCTCTCAGACTTTTGAGTAGCTGGGCTTGCAGACACCTACCACCATGCCCCACTAATTCGTGTATTTTTAGTAGAAATGGGGTTTCGCCATGTGGGCCAGGCTGGTCTCGAACTCCTGACCTCAAAAGAGCTGCCTGTGTTGGCTTCTCAAATTGCCTGGATCACAGGCGTGAGCCGCCTCCCGAGCCTGGCCTAGTGGATTTTGTTGTAGGAAAGCAGTGCTACAGTTTGTTATTGTTTTTGTTTTAACTTGTATTTTAGGTTCAAGGGCACACGTGCAGGTTTGTCACATGGGTAAGCTTGTGTCACAGGGTTGTTGTACAGATTATTTCATCCCTCAGGTACTAAGCCTAGTACCCAATAGTTATTTTCCTGATCCTCTCCCTCCTCCCAGCCTCCACCCTCCAGTGGGCCCCAGTGTGTGCTGCTCCCTTCTATGTGTCCGTGTGTTCTCATCATTTAGCTCCTGCTTATAAGTGAGAACATGCAGTAGTTGGTTTTCCGTTCCTGTGTCAGTTTGCTAAGGATAATGGCTTCCAACCCCATCCATGTTCCTGTAAAGGACATCATCTCATTCTTTTTTATGGCTGCATAGTATTCCACAGTTACATGTATGCTTTTCTTTATCCAGCCTGTCAGTGATGGGCATTTATGTAGATTCCATGTCTCTGCTATTGTGAAGAGTGCTGTGACGAATATATATGTGTATGTATCTTTAGGGTAGAACGATTTATATTCCTTTGGATACATACTCAGTAATGGGATTGCTGGGTCGAATGGTCATTCTGTTTTTAGCCCTTTGAGAAATCGCCACATGACTTTCCACAATGGTTGAACCCTCACCAGCAGTGTATAAGTGTTCCCTTTTCTCTGCATCCTTGCCAGCATCTGTTATTTATTTATTATTATTATTTAGCTTTTAAATAACAGCCATTCTGACAGTGCTACATTTTGTAAATAAATGGATAAATATGCAGTATATTGATGCCTCTTGGGCTTTCCTTTCTTGCTATCTTCTTTTCTTTTTCTTTCTTTCTTTCTTTCTTTTTTTTTTATGACGGAGTTTTACTCAGCTACCCAGGCTGGAGTGCAATGGCATGATCTTGGCTCACTGCAACCTCCACCTCCTGGTTTCAAGCAATTTTCATACCTCAGCCTTCCGAGTAGCTGGGATTGGAGGTGCCCATCACGCCTGGCTAATTTTTGTATTTTCAGTAGAGATGGGGTTTCACTGTGTTGGCCAGGCTGGTCTGGAACATCTGACCTTGTGATCTGCCCGCCTCGGCCTCCCAAAGTTCTGGGATTACAGGTGTGAGCCACCATGCCTGGCCTTTCTTGCTGTTTTCTAGTTTTTCTCCTTGTGGTCAGTGAGCATGGCTCTCATGATGGTCATTTGATTGGCTGTAGTTGAAGTTTCCGTTCTGTTCTAACGTGGTTAATCCTTGAAAATGTTCTCTCTCTCTCTCTCTCTCTCTCTCTCTCTCTCTGTGTGTGTGTGTGTGTGTGTGTGTGTGTTTGTGTGTGTGTCTGTCCTGTCTGTCTT